TACAGTGCTGTAATAGCTAAAGAATTGACCTGGTGAACTCATTTTCCCAACGGAAAAACAGTCCAGTAGATAAGCATGTTTTCGTAGATTGCTTCTGAGTGGCAAAATTTTTATTTTGCCCTGATTCATGGGAGGCTTCCAAAAATGAAATATCTCTCTTCACCTTTGCAGAGATGTGCTCTGCCTGCATACTATCAGTACATTTAATGATTTAAAAAAAAAAAAAATTCTTCTAACATTTTACACCATACCAAGAGAATATTTTATATTGATCCATTAACGCTCATTCAAGAACCTCAAGACACTTTACAACAATCTTATGACACACACAGGATGAGTAAATCAAGGGACTTCCATTTTTTAAGTTATTTAGTATTATGGACACAGTCTAGATCAGTATGTCCCCTCTGATGCCAAGTACTAAAGTTAGATTCCATTTACTAGTGCCAAAGAAAAGTCATATTGTAAGATTTCTTCCTTACCAGAAAAGAGAAATCATGTAACTGCTTAGAAAGAGAACATTCAAATAAAAGTTGAGTGGTGGAATACTGACACAACAGTTCTGTTTAGGGTATGCTCTTTAGTCTAGGTTGAAAGAAAAAAACTGGCAATCACTCTGCTATCTAGGGACAAGGCAGAGAAAACTTCAAGGTTGATTACCCTAACTGAACTTCTCAACTCCTCAAAAGACAAGAGATGGGGAACAGAAGCACCTGGGAAAGACACTGATGGCTGCTTCACAGCCATGAATTTTGGATAAACTTTTTTTTTTTTAATAATTTTATTTATTTATTTATTTTTCGCCCAAAGCCGCAGTAGATAGTTTTATGTCATAGTTGCAGATTCTTCTAGTTGCTGTATGTGGGACGCGGCCTCGGCATGGCCGGAGAAGCAGTGCGTCGGTGTGCGCCCGGGATCCGAACCCCGGCCGCCAGCTTCGGAGTGCATGCACTTAACCGCTAAGCCATGGGGCCGGCCTGGATAAACTTATAAACTACTATTAATTGATAGTGTCACAAATTTTAATTATAATAATAGCTCAGGAGATTGCCATATGTACTTTAGGTTATATAGGAGAAGAGATCAGATGGAAACTAAAGAGTGACATGAAATTATCAAAACTCATGTTTAGAGGGGGCCTTATGAGGTCATCTGGCCCACTTCCTAATCCTCTTCTGACAGTGTCACACCAACTATTCATGAGGAAAAAAAATCTACCCTATTTTTAGAGACCTTCAATGAAGAAGAGTCCACAGCCAGGATTTTAGCTCAACTCCAGTTTTTCATGCTATACTCATAACCCATTACCATAACTGGTCATCATGAAAGATATTAATAATACCTGTCATAACCACCTCAAAGAATTAGAATAAGGAACAAATGTGATAGAATATGGAAACACTGTAAGTTAACTGTAAAAATTTATTCCTTGGGTTAAAGCCTATATTCTTCTTTAAGGTCATTGTTAAAGTGGAGGTTAGACCCTTGCAAATGTTATTCTACTCTAACTCTACTCTACTCTACTCACGAGATTAACATGAGCTGAACTGGTTGGAGGAAAAATACACTGGGAAGAATGTATGCCACGAGCTGGGTCTTGAAAACCACACTGTCTATTTTAAAGTTTTGTCTTAGAGAGTCAAGACCTAACCCTGAACAGCAGAGTATCATCCTACACATCTGAGACACCGGGGAGACTCCAGAAGTAGAGCTCACCAAGCGTCCCACTCAATATATCCTGATATCCTTTGCTTAAAATGCTAAGGACAGCAAAGTAACTTTTATAAGATTTACGTACCAAAGCACATAACTACATTGTTATACATCCAACACATTCTCAACCATTTGATATTAACATACGCTTCTGGAGAGATGGGGATCCTAGTTCTGCTATAATATGACAACTTCTGACTCGTATTTTTCTTATTTAAAAAGAGTATGCCAGCATTTTGCCATTTACCTATTTCCCAACCAGATGATGAGAAAATTTATGATCTGACAACTTTTTTTTTTTTTTTAAAGATTTTATTTATTCAGCTTTTTCCCCCCAAAGCCCCAGTAGATAGTTGTATGTCATAGGTTCACATCCTTCTAGTTGCTGTACGCGGGACTCGGCCTCGCGTTGGACGGAGAAGTGGTGCCTCTGGGCGCTCCCGGGATCCGAACCCGGGCCGCCAGCATCAGAGTGCGCGCACTTAACCGCTAAGCCACAGAGCCGGCCCTGATCTGACAACTTTAAATTGCTTTTGCTCCATGAAAATAGCATCTAAGCCTAAAGAAAATGTTTACCGTAGTAAAATACTTATCTTGTAATTATGACTTTCCAAGTAAAATTTGAAATATAAAAAAAGACTCCAATGAATTTCTTAAAAGAGAAGAAGTATATGTGACATATTAGTAAGAGATCTGAATTAGCTTAATAACAAATACAGTGTAGGGCCGGCCCCGTGGCTTGGTGGTTGGGCGAGCGCGCTCCACTGCTGGCGACCCGGGTTCGGATCCCAGGCTCGCACCGACGCGCTGCTTCTCCGGCCATGCTGAGGCCGCGTCCCACATACAGCAACTAGAAGGATGTGCAGCTGTGACACACAACTATCTACTGGGGCTTTGGGGGGAAAAGTAAATAAATAAAACCTTTAAAAAAAAAAAAAAAAAACAAATACAGTGTAATCTGTTTTCTCTGATTTAGAGATTCTAAGACATCGGGATAATCTTTTCTAGTTGAAGTCATGTTCTAATTAATACCAATATAAGTATTAATAAAAGACAAGGTAATTCCTTTAGTCTATACCAGTGGTTCTCTACCACATCAGACTAAACGTTCCCTTTTATATTGCCCCCAAAATATCCTGAAATGTAATTCATAGATAACATTACCTATCCATATAGGATTTTAAAGTCAACAAAATGCTCATTTCAATGAAACAAAAGAAATTTATAAGATAATATGTATTTCAATGTGCAAATGCTCAGTCATGACTATACTACTAGAAGACACAACAAAGAAAGGAAATGCTTATTTCAAGGATAAGAATCCAAACATTGAGTCTATGCTCCTGAACTGAGGCCTCCCATCAGTACTTCAGGGCAAATCCTAGATCTGCCAGGACTGAAACAAGTCTTGATTCTTCTATTCAGAGTAACCAAGACTGAAAATATCACCATATCCAGAGACCATTAAGGACCCTGTAGTTATGGACAATTTGGGCAGAAGAGGAAAGCATTCCGGGGCAAGCTCCATAGGAAAAGTTCCTTCATTGTAGGTTCTGTGAGGTCATGGTCCAGGTAGGTAAGGGATCAAAACCAGGCTAAGAAATCTCTCTTTTCACACCTCCTTAAACACATAAACTGTTCCCTTCATGCTCCATGAACTCTTAACAGATTCTGAGCTGGCCCCAATCCACGTCTGCTATCACAGATGGCCTCTAGGAGCATGTTGATTCTTCTTCTATCCTGACTTATAAAATTACAGAATGGTGGACTAGGAAATGTATTTTGTTATTATCTAATTTTGGCCTTCATTTTAGAGGTTAGTATATTTAGTCTTGTGCAGGGTCATAAAGATTGTTAAAAGTAGAGACAGAGGCCTCTTGATTTCCAGGCCAGAATTGTGGTCACTGTACCACATTTAAAGAAAATAAGCTTAATATTAAGAGATCCTTTCGAGAAACTAAAACCTAAGGAAAACAAACAACAAAAATTTAAAATATAGACTCTCTGAAATTCCCCACCATCATTTTCAGAGCTTCATGCAGTTTCTCTGAAATTAAGCAGTTAGAAAGATTAGTAGATAGGCAATATAACGTGTAACTCTTTTCATGACAAAAGGGTTTGTTTTGTTTTGTTTTCAGGAAGATTTGCCCTGAGCTAACATCCGCTGCCAATCTCCCTCCTTTTGTATGTGAGCTGCCACCACAGCATGGCCACTAACAGACAAGTGGTGTAGATCCATGCCTGGGAACCAAACCCAGGCTGCAGAAGCGGAGCACGCTGAACTTAACCACTAGGCCACTGGGGCTGGCCGGAGAAGAGCTGTTTCTTTCGCGAGGAAGATTAGCCCTGAGCTAACATCTGTCGCCACTCCTCCTCTTTTTGCTGAGGGAGACTGGCCCTGGGCTAACATCTGTGCCCATCTTCCTCTACTTTATATGGGACGCTGCCACAGCATGGCTTTGACAAGCGGTGCATCGGTGCATGCCCAGGATCCGAACTCCAGGCTGCCGCAGTGGAGCAGGAGCACTTAACCACTACGCCACAGGGCCAGCCCCAAGAGCTTTTTTTTAACAGTGGCCTAGCATGCCAGTATTTGGATGTTTTGTATTTTGTTTAATCAACTGCTTCTTATTGGATATCTAGGCTATTTCTCTCTTCTATTATTCATTTAATGGATTGTAAATTGTTTTTTTTTGTTTTTTTGTGAGGAAGATCAGCCCTGAGCTAACATCCATGCCAATCCTCCTCTTTTTGCTGAGGAAGACCCGCCCTGAGCTAACATCTATTGCCAATCCTCCTCCTTTTTTTTCCCTTTTTTCTCCCCAAAGCCCCAGTAGATAGTTGTCATACGTCATAGTCGCACATCCTTCTAGTTGCTGTATGTGGGACGCGGCCTCAGCATGGCCGGGGAAGCAGTGTGTCGGTGTGCGCCCGGGATCTGAACCCGGCCGCCAGTAGTGGAGCACGTGCACTTAACCGCTAAGCCACGGGGCTGGCCCCCGGATTGTAAATTGTTAATGAAATGATGAGAAATGCTTATATTCATCTAACAAAAAAAAAGACTGCCAAAGACAAAAACACAAAAAGGACAAAGAAAGCAAGCCCAACTTGTAAGGTTAAGAGTCAGAGTTTTAAAAACAAGGAAACAACTTTACAAATAGAATTGTCCTTTTAGAATAAAAATTCTACATTATAATTACCCCAAGAGCCAAACATTTCTTCTCCTCCTTTATTCAACTATTAAATATTATCCTAAATAACCATGCCAATTCATAATGAAAAATTACCTGCATTTAAAATATACAGTCCCTTCGTGGCTTCCATCATGCTTTCCTCTCTCGGGATTGTCCCATTCCACTCCTAACCAGAGTCCTAGCAGAACAAGAAAAACCAAATGAGCAATAAATGATGACTGAGGTAATGGTCCATTTTTCTGCAAGCAAATACAGTTTGCAATGGAAACCATATCACACAGACACAACTGGGGGAGAAAGAAATGTCTTTGGGAAGGAACAAGTTAACCTTAGACTTGGGACTTCAATCAGCAAATGCAATAGTATGTTTGGTTTGAAAACCCAACGAAAATCACAATTTAGAAAATGACAATGCCTAAATTTATTGAGCAGACATTTACTAAATGACAGAAACTTTTCTTCGCATTATCTCATGTTATCCTTACAACAATTTCATCTTTGTAAAGGAAGTATTATTATTATCCTCTTTTTACCAGTTCCTGGACAAATACACATGTTTTTTGAGTCCTAGTCTAGTAATCTGCATTTCATAAAATTAAAAAAATATATATATATATATAGCATTCTTATTCAGTAAAGGTAAAATAACTTGCCCAAAGTCACACATCTTCAAATTCAAATCATTCTAACTCCGGAAGCCAAAACTTACCCATCACACTATTCTGTCTATAATTCATATCTTATACTTGCATAGCACCTTACAGTTTTTAGAGCATTTTTTTTATCTTCTCTCTTCCCTTACATTACGTATACACACTATGCTAGGTGCAAAAATAAGTAAGACAGAGAGTTTCACTTCTGAATCTACCCTCCTGCTGAGAACAACTAGAAAAGCTAGATAAACTATTTTTAAAAATCACTTTAGGGGCTGGCCCGGTGGCATAGCAGTTAAGCTTGCGTGCTCCGCTTTGGCGGCCTGGGGTTCGCCAGTTCAGATCCTGGGTGCGGACCTACGCACCGCTCATCAAGCCATGCTGAGGTGAGGTCCCACATAGAGCAACTAGAAGGATGTACAACTATGACATACAACTATCTGTTGGGGCTTTGGGGAGAAAAAAAAGGAAAAAAGGAGGAAGATTGGCAACAGATGTTAGCTCAGGGCCAAGCTTCCTCGAAAAAAAAAGAAAAAACCACCTTACACCAATTAGGACGGCTAATGTCAAAAAAACAAAACAGAACATAACAAGTGTTGGCAAGGATGTGAAGAAATTGGAACTCTTCTGCATTGCTATACTTAATACCACTGAACTACCCACTTAAAATGGTAAATTTAGTTATGTATAATTTACCACAATTTAAAAAATATGCATACATATAAAATATCTCTTTGAAAGCACCAGAGAGCTAATAAGGCAGTGAAGAAGTAGAAGGCCAATATCTGGGAGAAGAGGGAAACCCAAAGAGTTGAAATAAGCTTTTAGAGCAACTTTTTCCCTTGGAGCCATCTGCTGATTCTGGTAGAAGAGGCTGAAAAGCTAAAAAGCTGATGAGAGCTTTGGACAGATCTCTGCTAAGAGATCAATATTGAAAACATAGCCTCTTGGGAAGGGGTAGGTTGCTGACAAACTTTCTAGGTTTTGTACTGGGGCTCGAAATGTCTTCATCCTAAGACTAAGGAGGAACCAACTCTAAATAGACTAGCCTTTGTAGAGATTAAAGGCCAGCTTCAAATAATCTCACTCCCAGATTTGTTTAAAGTGATCTAGGATTGCTACTGACCCTCGCCATCTGCCAGAGTAAATTTCAGTCCTCTCCGGAGGAAGATACCACTGCAAAGATCAAACTATAATTTTTCATAATCAATATCTGGCACTCAAACAAAAATAACTGAGCATATAAAAAGACAAGACTATATGAAAACCAAGAAAAAAAAACAGCTAACAGAAATAGATCCATCAGGTATCTGCATAATGGAGTTTTTTTTTTTTTTTTTTTTTTTTTTTTTTTTTTTTTTTGCCCCCAAAGCCCCAGTAGATAGTTGTCTGTCACAGCTGCACATCCTTCTAGTTGCTGTATGTGGGACTCGGCCTCAGGCTGGACAGAGAAGTGGTGCCTTGATGCACACCCGGGATCCGAACCCGGGCCGCCAGCATCGCAGCGCGCGCACTTAACCACCAAGCCACAGGGCCGGCCCTGCATAATGGAGTTTTAACTATGTTTAATATTTTCAAGAAAATAAAAGATGAGCTTAAGAATTTCAGCAGAAAATTTTAAAACTATTTTTTCAAAACCCTAAATGGAAATTCTGGAACTGAAAATTTCAATAATTCAGATTATAATCCAATGGATAGAATTTTACAATAGATTATACATAATGGAAAAAAAAACCAGGTCAGAAAAAAATATATACAGAATGAAGCACAGTGACAAGTGATGAAAAACACAGAATAGGGTATAAAAGACATAGAGGATATAATGAAAAGATCTACCATATCTATAACTGGAGTCCCAAAAAGAAAGTAGAGAGAGATTGTGGAAGAAGCAATCTTTGATATATGACTGAGAATATTACTAATGACTAATTAGTCTAATGACTAATTACTAATGACTGAGAAAAAACTAAAGAAAGCCATGAAGCCACAAATTCAAGAAGCTGTAAGACAAAGAGAAAAATCTTAAAACAGCTCAGGGTGGGGGAGACGAAACAGATTATCTTCAAAGGAGAACAACCAGACCAAAAGCTGACTTCTCCATAGAAACAGTAAAAGCCAGAAGATAAATGAATGATATCTTCAAAATACTGAAAGAAAATAACTGTGATCTGCAACACCATAATTGGTGGAAATATTGTTCAAAAAAGCGAAGGCAAGCAAGGGGCCCTGAATAGACAAAATCATCCTAAAAAAGAAGAATAAAGTCAGAGGACTCACACTTGTCAATTTCAAAACTAACTATGAAACTGTAATCATAACGATGTGGTACTGGCATAAAGTTTGACATACAGAATTGAGAGTCCAGGAATAAACCCATACGTGGTCATTTGATTTTTGACAAAGGTGCCAAGTCCACTCAATGAGGAAAAGACAGCCTCCTCAACAAATGGTGCTGAGACAACTAGATATCTACATGCAAAAGAATGAATTTAGATCCCTACCTCACATCATATATAGAAATTAACTCAACATAGATCAACAACCTAACTATAAGAGCTAAAATCACAGAACTCTTGACCCAGCCCTAATGGCCTAGCAGTTAAAGTTTGGTACGCTCAACTTTGGCAGCCTGGGGTCAGCTCCCTGGGCAGGGAACGACACTACTAATCTATCAGTAGCCATGCTGTGGTGACAGCTCACATAGAAGTAGAAGGACTTACAACTAGACTATATAACAATCTACTGGAGCTTTGGGGAGACAAAAAAAAGAAGAGAGAGGAAGATTGGCAACCAATGTTAGCTCAGGGCAATTCTTTCCCAGCAAAAAAAAATAAATAACGATAAAAAATAAAAATAAATAAATAAAATCATAAAACTCATAGGAGAAAACTTAGAGGTAAATCTTCATGACCACGGACTTGGTAATGGATTCTTATATATGACACCAAAAGCACAAGCAACAAACGAAAAAATAGATAAATTGGACTTCATAAAAATTAAACACTTTTGTACATCAAAGGAAATTATCAAGAATGTGAAAATACAACCTATGGAATAAGAGAAAATACTTGCAAATCACAAATCTGATAAGGGTTTAATATCTAGAATATATTAAAAACTCCTAAAACTCAACAACAAAAAGACAACCCAATTGAAAAATGAACAAAGGACGTAAATAGGCATTTCTCCAAAGAAGATACACAGATAGCCAATAAGCCCATGAAAAGATGCTCAACATCATTAATCATTAGGGAAATGCTAATCAAAACTACAATGAGGTACCAGTTTGCATTTACTAGGATGGCTATAATCAAAACAATGGAAAGTAACAAGTATTGACAAGGATGTGGAGAATTTGGAACCCTCATACACCACTGGTGGGAAGGTAAAGTGTTTGCGACTGTGGAAAACAGTTTGGTGGTCCCTCAAAAAGCTAAACATAGAAGTACCATATGACCTAGCAATTCTACTTGTAGGTATATAAACAAAAGCATTGAAATAGGGACTCAAACAGATACTTGTATACCATTATTCACTGCAGTATTACTCACAATAGCCAAAAGGTAGAAATAACCCAAATGTCCATCAACACGTGAACAGAAAAACAAAACGTGATATACATACAGTGGAATAGTATTCAGCCATAAAAAGGAATGAAGCCCTGACACATGCTACATGGATGAACCTTAAAGACACCATGCTAAGTGAAATAAGTCATCCCAAAAGGACAAATGCTGTATGATTCTACTTATATGAGGTACCTAAAGTAGTCACCATTTAACTGTACACTTAAAAATAGCTAAGATGGTAAATTTTACTCTATGTATATTTTACCAGAAATAAATATTTTAAAATGTTAAAATGGATAGAGGGGAGGGAGAGATGAATAGGCAGAGCAAAGAATTTTTAGGGCACTGAACCTACTCTGTATGATACATGTCATTATAAACTTGTCCAAACCCATACAACACACAACACCAAGAGTGAACTTCAAGAGTGCACTCATCTGTTGACAGACGTTTAGGTTGTTTCCATGTCTTGGCTATTGTAAATAATGCTACAATGAACACGGGGGTGCAGATATCTTTTCAAGTTAGTGTTTTCATTTTCTTCAGATAAATATCCAGAAGTGGAATTGCCAGATTATGTGGTAATTCTATTTTTAATTTTTTGACAAAATTCCATACTGGTTTCCATAGTGGCTACACCAATTTACATTTCCACCAACAGTGCACAAGCGTTCCCTTTTCGCCACATCCTCACCAGCATTTGTTATCTCTTTTTTTTTTTTTGATAATAGCCACTCTAACAGGTGTGAGGTGATGTCTCATTGTGGTTTTGATTTGCATTTCCCAGATGATGAGTGATGTTGAGCACCTTTTCATGTACCTGTTGGCTATCTGTATTTCTTCTTTGGAAAAATGTCTATGATGATCCTCTGCTCACTTTTTTTTTTTTTAATTTTTATTTATTTATTTGCCCCCCAAAGCCCCAG